AGAGACCAGGCTTCTGTTTGCATTTTAATTAGAAGCCGGTCTTCTTTTCTCTTCAGGTAGGATTCTCCATCCCTAATCCAAAATACCTTAAAAAAAATTAAAAGATGAATTTATATGTTATCACTTATTAGAGAATAATTGAAAGACCTATAATTCCATTTCTTTCCTTCCTGCCCCGCTACTTCTTTGCTGTGCAATTTGGTTGCGTCTTGAGTTGGACATGTGACTGAGGCAAAAATGACAGGCAGAGGGAATAAGAAATGTGAGCCAAGTGGCTTTGGAAAACTCCATTGAAAGAGAATCTAAAGATACAAACTAGTCATAAAAACATAGAGTGCAGATGTTACTAGAACTTAGAACTTGACCAAATTATGTGAAGTAATCTTAAAATAGAAATACATATGAAGATTGTGATCTTGGAAAAAGTTTAAAAGCTTGTGAGTTCTTTAGTGCCAATGCAAGAGTTAATATATAAGCTTTTAGCTCCTGGTGAAACAGAATGGGAAAAATTACTAGTTGTATATTGGGGCTTCCTTTGGTGGCTTAAAGTCAGCCGTGGTATTTACATCATGGAAATCTGCAAATGCTACAAATCAGCGCTTTTTTTTTTCTTTCCATTTATTTTGGGAGCTGATTGTAGCTCTGCATTGGGATTAATGAAACTTTTAGCACCTGTGACAAAGGTATTCCTGCATGGCTTTGGTAAGGGGCATTTTGGGGAATAAATGAGTATTTTTTTCTATAAGCAAGGGACTTCTAATACGCATCTTAGTAAGATTTGGTGTTTTATTATTTCTTTTGGAATTAAAATTTCATCAAATTCTTATGAAAAAGGATTTCTCTAAAATATGGCCTTTGTTTCACTTCGCTTCATTAAAAGGTAAAAGAAGATAAAATATATGTGTGGCAGGAAAACTTCCTGCTTTCTAGTAAGCAGAAGTAGTACCACCTGATAAACTGTGTAGAGTCACTGGAATGGAGTCAAAGCCATAGAGAAACCAGACCTGCTTGCTTTTTTTTTTTTTTT